CAGTGTCTTCTACTGGCATGCTTGGTGGTACACACTTAGGACCAGCACTGTGCTCAGCAGTGGTGCAGGCTGTTCCCAGAATTTGATCCCTATGTCCCCCTTAGCTGCCGCAGTACACTAGATGTGCTGCTAATGTACACCTTCTGGTTTGGTTCTACCAGAGAAGGAATCTAGCCTTTGCACACTAAGATGATTATCTGAATAAAACGAGCATGCCATAGGAGGGGAACAGTTGGATGGAAAGCACTTCAGAAGCATAATTCTGCTCCCAACTTGTACTGGTTTTGTAGGGATAGAGTTAACTTTCTTACTAGCAGCTGGCGTGGTACTGTGTTTTGGATTTAGGATGAGAATAGCATTGACAGCACGCTAGAGGGTTTTGGTTGTTGCTGAGCCATCAAGGTCTTTTCTGCTCCTCACACCGCCCTGCCAGTGAGTGGGCTGGAGGTGCATAAGAAGTTGGGACGGCTGACCCCAACTGACCAAAGGGATACTCCATGCCATATGACATCATGCTCAGCATATAAAGCTGGGGGAAGAAGAAGGAATAGGAAGGATGTTCGGAGTTACGACAGTTTGTCTTCCCAAGTAACAGTTACATTTTCTAGGCAGATGTTAACCCAGATCATTTAAGACAGAAAGATCATCTGTACAGATGGACCTGGTACCAGCGGCACCTAGCAGAAAGGTCAAAATAGATAACAGATAATATTTTTACAGGATATTGCAATAAACTTCCTGTGGTAACATTTCTTCATCAGACTATGGGCTAGCCCTGTTAACATGTTTGCTTTGGCTTTGAGGATGCATTCTTGAATATTCCTTTATAGTTTACTTGTCAGTTGGAGGGTGTGCACGGTATAATCTTGAAGATTAAGGCAGGCAAAGTTATGACTCTTTTTTTTCATTGAAGTCAATGTCAGAAAGCTTCCTATAAGTAAAAGCTTTAGCACAAAGACTTGAGCATGTGAGTTTTCAACAGGCAAAGTTTGTAAGAGTGGTATAAACCACAGGATTTTAAAATTAAAGTTTCTATCTCCATATCCTCATTTCCTAGAAATATGTCTTAAATGCAATAACAGAAATATATTCAACTAGCAGTGTTGCATTTCCCAAATACATCTCATCTACATTGGAATTAAAATTGTACAGAAACTATTGATACTGATAAAACACACACAATGCCTTTAAATATTTCTGCCCTACCTTTCCAAGCTCAGATGTTCAAAAATGCCTGTATGCAGGTGGCCTTGTAGATGGTGGCTTGAGCCAGGCTTTCACTGAAAGGGTAAGGTCTGGCTCCTGATCCTCCTTCTCATTCCCATTTTCCTCTCCTTTTTGCTCACATCTGCGTGTTAGCCCCCAGCTTTAATTTGTTCTGACTCCAGTGCTGACCAGATTCTACACCACGTCAATTCAATTCAGAGACTCAGAAAAAAAGTAGGTAGTTTTTCTTCAAATCTAGTGAGTTGAACTGGCAAAACTCCTGGCACAGGGCTGCTGGGCAGAAGGGAGTGGGAAGGGATAAGCAGGAGAAAATTTCCTATTTTGGCAACAATGAGCTTTTAGCGTTCAGCCACCTTGTGCACCTTCACCCTTAGTAAAGATGTGGGGCTGGTGCAGAAGTGACAGTGCAACCACGGTCTGTTAGTCTGCAGGTGAGCCAGTTCTGAAAAAGCAGTTTAATCCAACACGTTAGAGTAGGGGTCAGGCGTCAGTGCTCCCGTGCTGGTTTATCCCATGGTCTAGATTAAGACACTGGGAATATCATTTCACCCCTCGCTGCCTGCTTCTTTGAATAGGAAATAAAAGCACTGATCTATCTTGTAAAAGCGTGTTGGTGTCTCTGGATGAGAAGTGCCGCTATTACTTCTCCTGACCTTTATTACTTGAACATGGAGAAATACTAGTGTAAATTACTAGTATGTGTAAGTTAGCAGTGTATGTGTGTATCAATGTACGTATCAGTGTGCACCCTTGGAGGACGATCACCTGAGACTGCCTGTACCCCAAGCCATGCATATGCTGTGACCATATTGGATGAAAGTGGGAACAGGACTTTGGCGTAGAAGAGGATTCAGCAAAGTTACCCTGAAGGACTCAGTAGCATGGATTGTGGATGCACACCTCTGCCACGGTGACTGGAACCTACTTTGTGCTCTATGTGAGCAGAGAGGGGAAAGGTGGCCCAGTGGTTATGCTGCTGACCTGGGACGTGGCCACGGACCTGCACTGTGGTGGTGCGTGAGACCTGCAAGAAATGACTTAGGGCTGGTCACTCCGGGCTTACATACTTTGCAAATACTTTCCTCTAATTCCCCCGTGCTTCTCTTCCTTATCTGAAAAGTGGCTTTCAAGAATTTTCTGTTACAAAGGACCCGTGTGGGAGATAAGTGGCCTGAGATAAACACCAAAGGTAACTTCAGACTGTTACTTGAAAATCAGCTGAATGGGAATTGAAAGTCTTTAGCTTTTATGGGGGCTAAAAAAAAATATCTGTCTTCATTGAATGCCTCTGAATGGAATGACACATTGAATGGGTAATAAGCATGCTATTTTAAGATCTGGTCTTTTTTTATCTGAACTGAGATTATCATGGCTGTTTGAAACTACAAATATCTGTTAGGTTTAGGTCTTGCACAGTATGCTATACATCCAAACTGGTCCTTAAATGATCTCTCCACTTGCCTGGAGGCTTCTAAATATTTTTACTAGCAGCTGGACACTGCCCGACATTATTATCTCCCTTTAATATGTCTGAAAAGCTAAAAGGAAGTTGCTCGGTCAAACTTGGACATGAGATTTTTGTTAGAGCCAGGAACTGAGTCCCAAGTGAACATCTGACTTGGATACGTTCAGGTGAGTGTCTGACACCCTGTGCTACGCTTACGAGTTTGGATTCAAAATCCTGGACACAGCAGACCCCAGATACATCTGTCAGAGCTGCATGGCCACTTTTGGCCAGGGACCCTAAGATTTTGGCAGGGAAAACAAGGAAGAGGAAGGAAACATATCTGCTGTGGCAGTATTTCATCCTTTTCAAATTCCTTTTTTGGATGCAAAGAGAACAACCACAAAGAAGTGTGACACTAATGTGCAACACTGGAAAGCATATGGTGATGATCATGGAAATAAACGATGAAATATGCAACCTATGGAAACTACACAGTTCAGCACAGCAATTGGGAACCACCTAAAGCTTTCTGATCATGGAGAACATGTCTGGTCCGAGGTTTATTGATCTTGAGGCAACAAACTGTAACAGGATCACAGCAACCAGCTTCCTGGGCAAGTCAGCTAGCCACGAATAATATATGCTGATGATTATACCATAAACGTCTCAATCAGTAATCATTGGTGGATGTTGTGCATGCCAGTTATAAAATATAATTATCAAAAGAGAAAGCACTGCTCTCCGAGGGTTATGTGATCATTTGAAAGCAGACTGGCTTTGCAAAATGTACCCCCAGTCTGCTGCTTAGGCTAAAGCAGATGTGCTCTGCCTCTCTGTTGCTTCTACTGGTTTTTGTTTCCCACAAGTCACAGTAGGGAGATGGTGGAAAGGAAAAAAAAAAAAAAAAAAAG